CCGAGTCGATAGATAATAAAATGTAGTTTTCGTTATTAATGTTAGCGAAAGTATTTTAAAAAAGCCAAAGTCGTAAGCTTTTGAGATATTTTAAAAATTAGATATGACCTTTCTCGTCCTTTCTTGGGGGTGCTTCTGTCTCAAATTTCCTATAAAATTAATATTTGTAATAATTATACAATTTTTCTCCTTGTAGGCTAGAAAAGTCAATAACAGCACATTTTAAAGTATAAGCCGACAGTCCATCACAGTAGTTTAACGAATTAAAATTAATGTTTCTAATATGTTAAGGTAGAATAAGAACAGGCAGGTTACTGGATAGTTGAAAGTCATTGAATGCAATATTTTTATTATTAATTATTTAAAAAAGACCTATAATGAAATAGTAAAAATAACCGGCGATAACAATTTTTTTCTTCTCTACTATTTATAATAAGTAGACAAACTATTCAATTTCAGAATTTTTGTGCGATTTTAGTGAGAAAATGTGGAATGTATAATTTCGGTCTAAACAAGCCAAAAGTTTTAAAATGTTAATATCTAAGGTGATGCTATTAGCTAATTAATTCGTACCTGTTATGTGTTGAAGGTGTATTGTCTTGTAAACAAAAGTTTGATGGTTTCATTTATCTGTGGGAGTGACGTTTAAAACTATTTCTTGTCAAATAAACGATTTTTGTGATCGTTTCCTGTGTATTTTTGTTTTTACCTACCCGAGAATAAATTATAAGAAGTAGTGATGCAACTGATCTCTGCTTCCGCTGTTGCGAAAGTTCCGCATTATCTCATCCCTTTCAGCTTCCGCACCGTTTACAACGGAACTTTAATTGGAAGTTTATACGTTCACTGTGAACCAGACACACGCGCGGATTCTTGCATTAAGTACATTTATGAAATCAGGAACAAGTCCTGTTTAGAACTATTTAGTGGAAATCTTTATAGTATTTATTCTTCCACTTCCATCCATCCGCATCCGCTTTCGTTTCTGCTGAAATTCACTTGACATCTGTCTCCGTTATGACACTCCCGTTGGATAACTAATAATAAATAATTAAGTGATAATCATCTCTAACATTTTAGACATCCCACTGTCGGAGACAGGTCTCTTCTAAGATGAGAGTTTAAGCGCTCTACCGCGATGACCCTAGGCATTTTTGAGGCATGCTATATTCGACAAATAATTTTTTCGTTGTGTATCACTCACCTAATGTGTGGTGAAGGAAATTTTGAGACGCAAAACTTCCTTTTACAAAAGCTACTAAATAAGTACTAGACTCGCTTAAAGAAGACAAGACGGGTTATGAAATATATAAGCGAAGAAATATGCAGGAGCTGCGAGCATGCAGCAAAATTTTAGCTTTCTGAATATTCTAGAATAACCTTAATTAATAAACTTTTCATTCATAGCTTTCTCTACTTATTGCATACGCTAATTAGTATTATCGTAAGCAAACAGTAATAAAAGAAAAATCGTCGTCATATCCGTGACTACACAATTTTCGCACCTGTGAATGTTTGAAATTTGAACGAATTTTGTAATAAATATGGGTCAACCGTAAATTAAAGGAGAATGCATTGCTTTTTTATCTATGAACCGAGGACCAGAGGGCCTACTGTGAGCTCATATAGCAATCCTGTATAAGCGCGTAAGTGGGATAGCCTGTCAAATTCGTACTATGACCTCACAAAAACAATTCACTGTCCATGCAGTTTACGTTCTCCATCCAAAACCCGTTCACCTTTTCTTTCATAGTAAAATCGTATCATGACGTGTTATTTGCTGTGCACATGGTGGTCTCATCTGTCAAAACAAGCAATTCAAAGAAAGTTACTCCGTGACTAACTTTTTTTTTAATGTCGAGATTTTGTTACATTTTTAAGAAATTTCTTTTTTATATTTTCAGTTTCATAATTATTCTTTATCTTCTTAAGCTATATTTATTATTGGCCAATTGTCAATAAATAAATACTATTAACTATTGAACTTTTTTGAATAGTTTACTTCGAGTTTCCCATCTACAAAGTATTGTTGATACATGATTAGTATGAATGTAATTGCAGTTTTTAAATTGTATTTTAATCATATCGAGTTCTTAGGTTTTCGCGATTGTTACACATAGGAAATGAAACTTTTTTCCGGTTTTACAGTTGGCTGACCATGACCATGGGACCTGTAAGCCCGAAACGTCAGTTTGTTTGAAAAAACAAATATACGCGATTCAAATCCGGAAAAATAGTTTCATTTCCTATGTATTTTAATCATTTTAATAATTTTATTGACTTAGCGAAAATCGTAAAATAACTTTTAAATAGTGCCAAATTTAACTTTAATGCATTATTAGTGAAAATGTACGACTACAAGATACGTTCCAATTATGTTATCAAATTACAAACTCACCTTATTCATTTCAATGATAATGGCGATAAATTACATGTAATTTTGTCTTACGACAAATTGTAAATTATGGGAAAAGTTGCCGATATTACAATATAACGTAATAAGTATAATTAATAATAAAATAATTTAAAAAATATAATTGTTCTCATTTTGAACACAATAAATAAAATATAATGCACACACTCAACATAGCCCCGCACTAGGAAAAGCCTGTGTCGCGGGCGCCATGGACACACACATAGACAACCACAAATTACACCCAAACTCACGATAGAAATAAATAGAGGCCATACAAATATTTCTCCCGGCCCGGTAATCGAACCTGGGACCTCTGCGTGGCATTCCGGCGTGGTAACCGTTAGGCCACTGAGGCAAAACACAATCGGTTAATAATATTGCTTGGACGCTCCCAGGGTAGTACATCTATCTATTTCTTTCATATGATTTAGTATGTAGTTCCATCTTGCTCTTCTTAGATTTTCAACTAGCCAGCCAGAGACAATAAAGTAAAACTTATCATCTTGCCTTGCTATTCCCGTTCAACTTTGTGTACGTCATGATACGAATTTTTGCAATTCAGTTTTACCATGTCAAGTGAATAATAATAATAATAATAATAAACCATTTATTTCAGGCCATAGCCCATAAGATGTTAGTTACAAAAGAAAACCTTAGAACTGTGTTAGTATGATTACATTGAATTTTGAGATATTGATAGAAAATTTAAATAGGTATTAAAATTTGGAAAATGCACAATTATTACTTAATTTGACCAATTGTAATGTTTACCCAAAACTTTAAAATTGTACAGTCAAAACGATGGGCAAACATCCTCAGGATGCCATTTCCACTGTCACGCACTCACTTTAGCAGAGACGACACTTTTTTACGCCTAATGTCATAAAAGTCATCTGTCCGCGCTTCAGCAAACATGATGCACTGCAGTGCCGTGGCTTTGCGCTCCCTTTCAATATCTAGATCATCTTTCATGGTATCAGTAATAACGTGATAAAGATATTTAAACCTATCAACTCTATTAAGAGGCGTGCCACCAAGCGTTAACGATGGTACAACATCTGGATAGCATTTACCTGCCTTTACAACAAGCAGTTCACTTTTTCTGAGTTGTACTTCAGCCACGCTTGGCTGCATACCTCTCACACCCTTTGAGTAATTTCCTGAGCGCATTAATAGACGGCCCCAGTAGCACCATGTCGTCAGCATAATTGGTATTATTGACGCATATATCATCACTGAAGCAACCAACATGCATGCTGCCGAGTTTATCCAGAAGCTGATTAATGTAAAGATTGAAAAACAATGGTGACGTAAGCCCCCCCTGCCTCACACCGCAATCGAGTCGGTAATCATCGGACACCTTGTCTGCCCATCTTACACCAGATGTCACTTTCAGTAGACCGACCCGCTCGGAAACCAAATTGAGTGTCATTCAATTTTACATGTTTATTGAGGTGGTTATTAAGCAAACTAAGCAATTACAGTTGCAAGTGCGATGGGTCTATAGTTAGCCAGATCCGAAACGTTACCTACCAGTTTTGTTCTTTACCAACGGCACTACAATAGTTCTCATAAGACCCTCTGGTAAGTAACAGTGACGCAAGCACAACGTATAAAACATTGGAATAGCATGGAACTTGTCTGGTTGCATATAAGCTCATAGCAGCCCCACTGGAGCAATCCATTTTCTTGACCTCGACGAGCAAAGACTAACATATGTTTAAAAGGTAAAACGGCTCAAGTACCACGTATATGTAGTCCATATATAGAGGAACTAATTCAGGATACATGGTAGATAATAGAAGTTCTTTGACTGGATACTGAAAATATATTTTATTTGTAATTAATGCAGTATGATATCTTTAGATCCTAAAACAATTGTAGGCTGCAAGAATTATACAGAAAGGAATATGGTTTCAATTAGAATATCTAGGGTAGATAGACGATTTCGGCGCGTTTCCAAAATCGCCAAAAGATGTAAACTGAATAGATATGATCTTTGCAGCACTTATTTACAATAATGTAAGTAGGTAATATGTGCATTTATTGGTAATTATTATTTCAATAAATAACACTGCATAAAAAAAATCGTAATTAATTAAATTATTTACAACGTACAATTTACTTTCTTGTCGTTTGATCAATTTTACTTATTAAAGTACAGTTAGTGCCATCTAGGGTACACGAAAGAAAAACCTACAATGCTAACCGAGCATCAGGCTGTCGAGAGTAGTGCCACCTAGTTTTTCTAAAGAAAACTGATATAAGATGTCACAAATTAGTGCCACAATTAACTACTAGGTGTCAGCACTAGTTACCATTTAGTACACCAAGCTAAGCAAAGATGGCCCTTTGTATCGCGTTTACGAATATCGGTTGCAATATAATGATATTATAAGTAACAGCAGCATAAGTAGACGTAGAACAAATACCAAATTGAACCCAACGATATCTACATATGTACTAGATTGGAATAATAAACACTGTAGTAGGCGTTTTAGTCAGGTACGTAGTAGTAATAAGCTTTCCTTGTTGACGTTGACAACAAAGGTTTGTATCGGTCTCTATAAACGCTCACCAGCCGTCACGAATAAAATAATTAAATTTATTTTGGTTATGTTATCTTTACTTTAGCTATTACATTAAAGTATTACTCAATTTTATGGGACTTTAACAGACATAATGACTCAATTAGATACTAACGACTACGTAATTAGATACGAGACATTCATAAACGATGTCCTCAAAGAAGATTTAAGACAAGTTGATTTACGACTTCAAGAGGTTAACGGCGAAATTACAGATTTAATTCAACAAAAACATTCCTTGAAAGTGATCATGGATAAGAGTATACATCCGAACGGGTTTAAAACTCAAGTAAATTTAGGGTGCAACTTTTTTATGGAGGCGGCAGTTAGCGATACATCGAAATTGTTAATGAATATTGGGTTGAATCATTATTTGGAGTTTAATATAGAAGAAGCTAATCGGTATTTGGATGTACGGATAAAGGCGTTTGAGAAGAAGGCTGAAGAATTGAAGAATCAGAGTGCAGAGACTAAAGCTCATATTAAACTGATGTTGTTCCATATTGGAAAGATTCAGAATAAGCAAGGTTATGGGATTAGCTAAGTAGTGTTCAAGTAAATAGTGTTTTAATTTGGATAAGAGTTTTTTATTTTAGGCCTTTTTTTAGGGGCTGTGATTAGTGATGAAAGAGACCCAGACTTTTAAAAAGCCTCGACTAATTTTAATGCCTCACGACTAGTCTAGTCTTTTAACCATCATGACTTGAGTCATAAGACTAAAACTGAAGACTAATTCGAGTCAAATTCTATTAACCTTAGGAAGCTTAAAAGACTTATAGGACTAGAACGACTAAAACATCTGGCACCTTATAGCCTCGGGAGTCGCGAGTTAGGAGCCGTATCACGTGATTTTATTTCTACCCTCAATTTATATATTTTATGATTGATGCATAATGTTAGCGTAGCTTTGTGCACAGAAGTCAGTTAATTATAACCTAAATCTATGATTATAACCAATTCAAGAATTAGTTTTTTGGGAATTATTGTTTCTTTAATATAAAAATAAATGGATACAGAACCCAACAGTCACAGTATTTTATCAAATTCTAGGATCGTATTCCAGAACTGTACTCAAAGCTCAAATCAGGACTTGAGCAGTCTTGAGTATGATTTCAAGCACTGGAAATACGACACTAATGGCAAGGAGTTGAGTATGATTTCTAGTGTATTAAATCATACTATATATAATAGGCCTAAACTCATATATAAAACATATTCTGTGATACATCTACATACCTACATAATCATAAATGTAAAGCTGTACGCTTTTCGAAAGTGAAATCTTATTTTGTCATACGTATATTTGTTTTTCAAACCAATTAACATTTTGGGCCCTTTATAAGTCGCGGTGGTCACGGTTAATTGGGAACTAAGAACTCAATATGTATCCCTTTTCGTTTAAATAAAAAAGTAAGCATATCGTTTACCAAATATTATTTGTAAGATAAGATTTCTATTACGCGTTAGATTTAAAATCATAGCGTATTTTTAAAGGTCTTGAAGAGTTCGAGGTTTTTGTTATTTTTGAACTGCATTTGAGCAACGGCCAACTCGCACCCCTCATGTAAGAATGGCATAAGTGGAGTTACGTCAAATATGTTGTTTGCTCCATTAGATACAGAAAAATATAACCCACATCCTCACTTCAATTCTTGTAATTCTATCTACAGTATTAATCGATAGATTTAGATAGACGTAACTCCACTTATGCTATGCTTCCTTGAGGCGTGCGGAATATCGTCGGTGTTGTAGAACAGAACATTTCGTAGATTTTTCAGGGAGTGTTTTGATTTTAATTAAGTAAGTTTAAAAATTGAACCTAAAACAAGCTCTTCTAAAAAAAAAATCTACGATGTCGCTTACGCCCTTTCTACAAACCACCTGACGATATAAAGGTTGGTCGTGCATTTTGCTATCATTCTGCGAAATCCTTCCTATAAGATTACGTTATTCTGTAACAGTGGTTAACTCGGTTTGACAGAATAGTAGTCTTTTTTTTTTTTGGTAAGCCTGTCCACAACAGTTGCAGTGCACTCTAACTGTTGTTGTTGTGGCTCTGATTGCTGCCACTGCGCCCGTTACCCTGAGACATAAGTTGACAAGTCCCATGTGCCTGGCTGATATACTTTTAAAATATGCTTATTATAATGTATATAATGCAGTGGTCATTTAAGGGACACTTACATTAAATGTCTACAGATTTTCTTATGTTACTATGATGTAATTAACCAACTGTAATTTCAGCAACTTCCTTACCGTTCAAAAGGGAACATAGTAATGCTGACATTATTACTGTTTGGCGGCAGAAACAGGTAAGGTGGCAGTACTTCCCTGGACGGACTCTTTCACAAGGAGCTCTATTATTTTGGGACATTATGACTTATTGTACAGCCAAGAGCACATAAAGTTAAAGTTTTAAGTTTAACGACTCCTTGGTCCTGTTCAATTTTCAACAAAGAATTTGGACACTTGTATAATATTCGGCAGTTACACTTTTCACCAACGCTAGGTAAGGACTGATCCTAAATATAGTTTTGAGGTCATTATCAACACTTAGCACAGTTTGGGCGAGCGGAGGTAATGGGTGGGTGCCTCAGTCGTGCGGGACAATTTCGATCAGTACCGCGTCGCACTGCACTTCACGAAAAAAACCCGCGGGTTGTAGGACCGACTTATTATGAGCACCTACCTGCCGAACTAAAAAACGAATGTTGTGAGGAAACGTTCAGGTGCAGACTGAAGAACCTTTTATTGGAAAAGTCCCTTTACTCAGTAACAGAGTATACTCAAAGTACGTAATAAATAATTAAATTATTATATTTATTAATAAATTTGACATTCATCGTATTATTAGATTTTATACTGTAATATACATTTATTAGTTATTAAGTATCCATATTGACATTTTCTGTATACACTTCACATTGTCAGTATAATTCAATTATTTATTAGTTTCATTTAATTATGTTTGATTTTGTACATGTACACTATTGTGTACTTATGATTCACTATTATATAATTATTTTCTTCATTATTTTGTAAACTTGACGCTCACTTTTCGAAGAGTAGTATAAAATGACATGTAATTGTATTTGTATGAAATTTGTAATGTTGAGAGAAATAAACTAAATTAAAACGTTCCCTGACCAATTTTTCGCTATCTACAACCCATAATTGTGAAAACATCTTTTATTGCGAACATTAATCGTTTTCTGACTCTTTAGTTTTCAAACGTCTAAGAATCGAATCATCCAGCCACTAAAATGCACTATAAGTTGCAGAAGTTGAAACGTATGTGACCATAAGTTGCAAAAATGTGGAAAGGTGGGAATTAATTAAGGAAATTATTATTATTTTGATTTATATTATAAATTATTATTATTTTAACTGCCTCAGTGGCCGAACGGCTACCACGCCGGACTGCCACGCAGAGGTCCCAGGTTCGATTCCCGGACCGGGAGAAATATTTGTATGGCCTACATTTATTTCTTTCGTGAGTTTGGGTGGAATTTGTGGTGGTCTATATGTGTGTCCATGGCACCCGCGACACAGGGTTTCCCTAGTGCGGGGCTATGTTGAGTGTTTGCGTTATTATTATTATTTTGGATATCTATTTTAGTGTCTCGCTTCTCCTATGGCCTAATAGTTTAATTTTGAATATGTTATTGTTATTGTCTTGCAATGGAGTTCTGGGCGGGTGCACGCGTTATCCGTGTTTTACTATAGGAATACGTGCCGCTGCTCGTAACGAGCCTGTAATTTATATATCTGGGGTACCACCGTTCTAAAGATTAAGGTGCCTAATATATATTATATAGGTATGCATAATATGAACATACATCGGCTGCCGCATTTACGTCTTCTTTTCACCCCATCATCATTTGAATAAGTACCTATTAAATTAATAGAACTTGCCTTAATTATACAGACTTAAGCTGTTAAATGTTCATTCTCTTGTAATAAGCCATGAATACTACTTGCTTGCTCCCTTAGACAATATAATATAAGTATATTTGCAAATGGCAATCAAGGTGTCGAGAATCAGTTAAAAACTGATACGTCTGGCGTTTTTGCGCAAATAAGGGGTTACCGTGAAGATTAAATCTTAAAGGGTAAAAGGAGATGGATAAAATTGGAATCAAATTAGCATCATGGTAGATAGGGTTGTGCCAAGAGAGGATGTAATTTATCCTGGTACTCGGAATACAATCAATGGTGACTCAGTAGGTTCTTGCAAATAAGGCATAATATAGGGTAATTTTTCATTTCTTCGATTTTCTATACATAATGCGTACTATAACTACTGAATACGCTAAAGAATAGGTACCATATATACAGTTTTATGGAAATTTATGTGGGCCGATCCCGGCGGCACTGCAATGCCGGGCCGACCCGTGACGGGAGTGGAGCGAGCCCCGAACATCCCATCTGGTCACAAAAATCAGTTTAATATACTGGTCCCTCAATGAGGGAACTTTCAGATATTAAGCTGAAAAGAACAGATACTACACTTTGATCTTAGCCAAAAGGCCGAGAAGCGATGCTGGTACGTGATTGTTCCGAGGTAGTCACTTGTCGAGGGAAAATCTTAACACCGCGATTCAGGTATTTTTACAAACTCCTTTGCACTTAACGAAATTGTTTATTTATTTTGTAATTAGTGTATTCTCTTACTCCTAAGGATGAATTTATCCTAATTCGTCTCCTAAAATCTACTGTTGCTTTTTATTTATTCATTGGATTAAATTATAGAAAAATATCTTAATTTTTGAACAGCATTATTCACCCAGACTTTCTTGTCCAACCGCACAACTTAAGTTTGTATTAAAAAAATGTACAGCGACATCTAGTGATTGTTAACAGAACTACGGTTTACTACTTCCATTGCCGCTTACCCATTAAGAGTCGCATTAAATTTCAACGGGAATAACGAGGATAGACGATTTAATGAATACACTGCGTTGATAGGTTTACCTAGAAGTAGTTACTAATTAAAGTAGATTTCCTAGGTATCTTGAAATTTGTGACTTTTTAAGGAGAAATAAAAAGAAAGAGTAGTAACGGGTTAGTCACTAGAAACAAAAACTTTTTGTTGTGAGGTTTTTACATATTATATGTATTATGACAAGTATGGTGACTCTACACAAAACGTAGGTACTCGTATGTGTGAACGCTCGCCGCGCGCCATGTACGGATCATCACAGAACAAGGACGCACACATTCACATAATGTCGCGGTGCATAGCGCGAGTCGTCATTCATTATAGAATTGAAACATTCGATCGGTGTTTATTGTTGCGTTTGTTTGTTTGAACAAAAGTGCCTCAAAAGAATTGTCGTTCTTCTCGATATCTACTGAACGTGAGAGGTAAGTTGCGCATTATTTATTTATATGGCGACTCTGGTGGCCCAGCGGTTAGCACTACAGGCGTTAGATGAGGAGCTTCCGAAGAGAACTTTTCTAAAATGAATTCTAATTTGGGTGTTCTGGATCACATAAATAAATCCAGATAGAACGACGACGATGCACTTTTTTAAACAGATGAAGCATATTATCTCAATGACGACCTCCGTGGTCGAGTGGTTTGCAAACCGGTTTTCAACGTGTTGTCATCTCTGAAGTCCTGGGTTCGATCTCCGGCTGAGTCAATGTAGAAAAACTAACTTTTCTGTATAGTCTCGAATCTGGGTGTTTGTGGCACCGTCGTTGATTTCGATTTCCATAACACTTGTGCTTTACTTATTTTGATATGAGAGCAAAGTATATGGATGTTGGCTAATATTTATTTGTTTA